ATTTAGTTTATCCTATAAAAATTTATAGAGGTGCTGTAATAGGTTGTACAAAATAACCAAGAAAGGCCTATACTAACACGATAGGAAAGTCATGTGTGACACATCAGATTTTTAGATATTTACTTTTGATACAAAGATGAGGTTATAAGACAAAAAATTAACTATTTTGTTATAATGCAAAAAAAATAATTTATTTATTATTTCTTTTTTTATACATTTACTGATAATACAAAAACAAATATTATACAATTAGAAATTTACTCCTACTACAAAATTTGAATATACCAGGGCTAAAACACTATCAATGAAATTATACTGACCCATGAAAGCAGCATTAAATGCGTTTAGTAAACGTGGCAACATGGTCCAGTTGGGCACTATGCATTTGTTGCCATTATGACAACATGGTAGCGAATAGTGTAATAGCTCGGCGTTACTTTGCAATAAAATGTTAATTTCAAAATACTTATAAGAAACTTTACTTACCTTTAATCAAATTAAAAAGAAATGAGCACATTGAACACATAGTTTTCTCAGTCGTTAATAGACACCTTTGGGGATAATAGTTTTCTGTGAGAGATGGGCGCCACTAATTCTCTTTTTTTTATTTTTAGGAAGCTAGTGAGAATTATAAACTCTAACTTTATCAAAAGGAAATTAATTACAACTTATATAAAATTTAGGTAAAAGAGAATTGTTGTAACCTTTAAAAAAAAATAAGATTCAACATATATATTTATAAAAATGAATTAGTTTATTCAGTAAAAAGTGAAAATGTTAAGAAACAAGTAAATATTGAATTTATGCTGGTAAATTAACTTTTATATCTCCAATAAAAAATTATTCACTATCTAGTTACCACTATATGGTTTTGGCTGGCAACTTCCTAAGAATGCAGTTGAACTTCTATAATTCTGCTACTCGGGAACGAACACCAAATCTCGTTCTTTTTATAAATCTGCTACTCGAGCACGAACACCAAATCTCATTCTTTTTATAATTCTGCCTTCAGAAAACTGCTCCAATGTCCAAAATGGAAGATATAGACTTTGGAGCCCAGGTATAAATACTAACTCTAGTTCTAGTTTCTTGTTCTAGTTCTAGTTTCTTGTTCTAGTTCCAGATTCTTGTTCTAGTTCTAGCTGCTCCTATTCGTTTTCTAAACAAAAAATAAATTCTGTTTTTCACGTGGCTCTTGTATGAGATATAAATTAAATTTGAAACATCTACTTTTTAAAATTAAATCAAGATATAATTACTAATAATCAAACTAATTACTATAAACACTGTGCAATTCCAGCAACCAAAATGAATTATAAAAACATATTTTAAAAAATTTAACTTGACTTTCAAAAAAAATAAACTAACAACAGGTTGAAATATAATTTCTACAGAGATATTTTTACAACAACATTATACTTTTTTTACGCACCACTTGTATAGCCAAACACTAACAGATACTAGGAGATAATATCGGGAAATGAAATTTCAAGGTCTAATGGCGAAATCGTTTGCTTTACTGTACTCTCACTTCATGAAATTTCCCTTTTAAATTAATCAAATACTATTTTATACAGGATGTCACACAATTAAAATAACATTTTTAACTGGAATTTTAAAATGTTACAAGGGGTTATGGTTCCGGTAATGGCATAGTATGTGAATAGAAGTTTCGTCCTCATCTGCACACATTCTTCATAGAACATCATCATATATCCCTAAGAGACAGGTGTCCTATCACGGTTTGCTCCTGCTAAGGTTTAGCTGTTGACTTTATTTGCTCTATGAATATTCTGGACTATCTCAGGAAGTTTCAACAAAAGCGTATGGGTTTTATGTTTCTCTACTTATATGTTAATATAAAATACCTCCTGTGGGTTCTGGTACAGTAAGAGTTTTGTCAGCTCTCTTCCTGGTTAGGAGGGCTGCTTTCTCATTTCTTAACATTCCCTCATATCCCGGCATCCATTCAAGGTTTCTACCAGGACCTCAAGGAATTGTTGGTAGTCCAATATTAATTTGTATTGTATTTCTACCCTTTATAGAGCTTCAGGGGCTGCCTGACTGACTGTCATAATAATTCCCCTTTTATCTGTAAGAGCATAACTTTTTTTATTGTTCGGTTAAAAATACTTTATATACAGCGATTACCATTTCTATCCTTTGTGTGCAATTCTGGTATACCTACAAAAACCACCTCTTGCCCAGTATCCTGATATCGTCTTATAGGGCATGTTGCAGGAATACTGGGTTGACTACCTTCTATCTGTTACGTGATGCTATCTAGCGTCTCCTCCTGTTGTCTTGCCTACATGCTGCCTGCATCTCATTCTCGCCCTCTTCCTTGGTTTTTAGTATTTTTAACCAGTCTCCTAAAGGCTGCTAGTAGGCTTTCTGCTAGTATTTAGCATAATCTGAGCACAGGCATTTATAGCTGTTACTTCAACCTAGAAGATTGCTGGTGGTTACCCCACAGGTTTAAACTAATAGTCCTTCTAGAGTTCGCATCTTAGCTCCTGTGCTATTTTTCATTTCTGAGTACCAGATTTATTCGTTTTGTAGGTTTTTATTTAAAAATGTTTTTAAATTATCTTATGAAACTAGGCTAAATCTAAGGCGTACCCTGTACGATTTTTTATTGTTGATTTTAATTTTAACGGAAAAACGTGTTTTCCATTTATCAAATTACATCATTATACACTCAATCATGCACGAGGGTAACATAATTTTTTGAAACTCTACGTCACTCACGTGTTCATGAAAATACTAAAAAAAAAATGTAAAATTGATGTGGTTGTGTGTATTCAATATTAACCCTCCAAACGGTTGATACGAGCATAAAGCGGGGTTTTAAAGCGATAACGTGTTTTTATACGCTTGTTGAACTTGTGATTGTTTTGCTTTTTGCCACTAATATTTTAAATAAACAGAACATTTTGAATTTTTGAATATCGCTATAGACTTTTTAAAAAAATTCTCTGTACGTCCAGTATTCATTTCATAAATAAAAAAAAAATAAATAACATTACTCCAGTCATAATTTCGGTAAAAGATTAAATAAAATTAAAGATCGAGAGTCGTTAAGGACAGAGTATCCTTGTGCATTAGGATGGCGTCTGCAGACCAAAAGTTAATTGCAACTATATCTGTAATTATACCGTATATCGTACTATTTTTTTTTTTTTCAACTTAGGAGGTTCAGGCATTGATTTTTTATTAAATTAATTGTTTTTAATTAAAAACGTGTGGTAGAAAATGGCCTGTTTTTAGACCTTTTTCATTGTAAACTACAAATTCAATAAATTTTCTGAAAATAAAACCTTGAACCACCTAAGTTAAACATTTTCCTATCAAATCGTTCAATCGGAAAATACGAAAAGGCTCAGATCTCCGAAATAGTTATAAATGAAAATTGGGTTGCATTTTATGTGTAATGTGTAATCCATTATTAAAAAAAATTTGGACTAAAAATGGCGTTCTCACTTTCCTAAAATAATCGATAATTGGTTCATCCCTGCTTCCCTTCCAAAGATATTACATTTCGTTTATGCTTTTACAGCATAAAAACGAATTAGAATTTGATAACATAAAATGTTTTCTTTTTTTAAATATATTGTAGTATTAAAAAAAAATAATTACACTAAGACGATTTAATAGAATGACAAGAAGAATATAGAATGTGGATATCAATTTACAGGCGAGCAATGATCGCCTGGTTGAATTTGGTTACGTTGTTGAGTGATGATATTTAGATGAGCAGCTGGGTTTAGATACGAGGGTTTTAAAAATAAGTTAAATTTTAATAATAAATACGATGTACTCTTTTTTTAATTTTTGAATATTTTAACTTTAAAGTAGTTTATATTACAATATCGAAAATGAATAGTTACGATTATAAGCAGATACAACAGCGATAGTAACAATAGTAGTCTTTTTAAGTTGTGGTAGTTAAGATTCGGTATCGACGGAGAGTTAATGCATTAGTCACTCTATTCATTTTCGTTACTGTGGTAAATAGATATTATAATAGAGATAAAATAGAAACACCTATAAATTAGATCACTTGCTTCTAAAAAATAATCCCGATAGGATAGTTCATATACCTAATATTTTTTTTACTTTCCTATCCCAACGGGATAGTGTATGAGTAAATAACAAAAATTTACTTCAACGATATAGAAAAAGATAATCTTCACGTAGGTAACTTCATAATCGAATGTATTAAAATTTTAAAGTGTTGAAAATAACTAAAACCTTTATAAATATACACCTTTAATAATAGTACCATTTTTTCGTTTTAGTGAGTTAAATATATATATTATAAAACAAATCAAAATATATTAGATATACAATATTAGCAGATTAGCTAGGTACCTGTATTTCACGAAATTTTGTATAAATAAGTAAATTAAATAAAATCAAAAACTTAAAACAAAAACATTTTTATTAATTTTAAAAAGATAATACATAATTGATTTACTCTTCGGTGGATCTCTGCACTTTAATTTTCTACTTCTTCCATTCAAAATTATTTCCGGGCCCACACAATCCTCATAAAAAACTCTCAGTTTTTCCATTGAATTAAAAAATATATTTTTTCAATAAAAAGAGAATTCTCATCTCCTACATAAACTATAAAATGCCACATTCTTCTTCGGGAGATACCGAGTTGTCCTTGAATCTAAAAACATAATAATTTTTAATTTGTTAGAAAATATAGCTTTCATTAAATTACTTTAAAATGTAGTCAAAAATCTCACCTGATAATAGTAATTGTGGTTTTCCTCCATTTTCAATTTTTAAACAGGGAACCATTTTTTCTCTAGGGCCTTTGTTAATTATAGATTAGATGTAGCTACTTTTAAAAAACATTTAACCTCGATAAGTTCATCAGAATTAATTAAACCTAAAAAATATAAAAAGTTATTAAATTATTGTTATAATACGTAAATCATTATCGCTTACCATCAGGTGATGCACCTAGGAACCCATATTGCACATCAACAAATAACCCTGTTGGTATAACTGTTTTGTATGCCGTACTCAATTGCTGGGGTAGGTATTCCTTGTTTGTCTGTCAAGATTTTTTTTACCAAATAATCGCATGGAGTACGGGCCCTTCTTTTGGCAACTTCCCCAAAATAAGAAACTGTTAGCCGAAATATTCTTTCCTCCAAGTATCTTGGGTCGTTGAACTGTCCTATAGTTTCTTCTGATATTTGTTTTTGTTGTTGTTGTTGTTGTTGTTGTTGTTGTTGTTGTTGTTGTTGTTGTTGTTGTTGCTTACTCGTCACCTAAAAATATTTAAATATAAAATAATGTGAGAAGTAAAAACGTAATATTCATGTTAATACCTTTAGTCGTTCAATTAATTTTTTAACTTCTTTAAGACATTCATCACTGATGTCTACCTCAGCAATATTAGATCCGTACTCCGTTGTTTCTGATGGTTTTATTTTTTTATAGCCTTACTTTTTCTAACAGTAGGTTTTCTTTTAATTTTGTCACGCTCCTCATTATTCACCCATTTTCTTAGAAAATGGGGGTACTTCTCTATTAAAGCATTGCTTCCAAATTTTGATGTGCCAATTAACTCCATTATTGTAAAGAAGAGCGCTCAAAACGGTTCTAGTGTTCTTCTTTAGGTTGTAAAGATGTTTGCTATAATTTTTAATGCAATGATTTGTGCATTCCGACTTTGTTACCTGAATTTAAAAATATAATAACGTAAACTAGTTTAACAGATATTAAAATATGTACCTACCTCTACACGGAAAAATTGTTTATTATTCACCACTCAATATGAAATAGAAATATTCAAGAAACAATTCGTTTTTTTATACAACTCCCCCTACTACCTTTCAACGTAATGCAAATAAATCAAAATATTAAAAATTTAATCTTTTGTTACTGTGATGTTGATAATTCTTTTTTCTAATGAAAATGAAACTCACTTTTCTTAGAATGCAGATAGTCAAAATTAAATTATTTTTATTTCTTAATACTTTAATAAGATTTACAACCTTAATCTATTAACATTATGAATTTTAAAATCAAATAACTACTTCTTTGATCCTCTAAGTCTTATAATTAGTATAATAATAAATAAATTAATAATAAATTGTCTAGACTTAGGTACTTAATACCTACTTACGGAAAGTAAAATCATTTTAATTTAATCCCAGTATTTTTTAAAGGACCCCGCCCTTTTCTAAAGGTAAAGTGGCGTTCCGTCAAATGTAATAAATTTTGAATATGATGTTGTACTCGACTTGTTGACCAAAAGTGTTCATAAGGCCAATTCAATCCTATGACTAGTTTTTAAAATACAGGGTGTTAAAGTCGAGAAATCGTATTTCTTGAAACTACGTAACTTAATTAAAAAGAAAAAAATAAGCATTTTTAGTTGATTGTAGCATTAACATGTCCTGGTCTAACGCAAACGTACACATAAATAGTACAAAATGTAAACATATACAGGGTGGTACTCAGTTACATCAGGGGGAATTTTTGAAATTCTGAGAGATTCTGATATGGAATGAAAACATGGTCAAAAATAAAAACTTACATAATGATTACTATTCTGACATTATGTAAACCCATTTTACATTATACGTATATAGGGTGATTGTTAATTCATTCCACAGAAAGGCGTTTCTTAAAACAAAAATTACTACTCTCTGTATATTAAGGAATTTGTTATTAATAATGATTATGTATTTAATACCTAGAAAACAATACTTTTTATGGAATACAGGGTGATAGACACATCTAATTCGTTTTTGTAGCAGCAATAATTAAAGAAATATTCCTTTTTTAGAACCAACCTATATTTTTCAATTCGATCCGTCAAAATGTACGAACTATTAATTTTTGTTATTAGCTTTAAGCAAATAATAACTTCATATAATTTCATAATTTTAGTATGATCCGTTTTTGAGATTCCAATATATAGTGAACCATATTAAATATCAGACATATCCACTCATGTATGTAGTATAATAATTCCTATTTGTGAGTACAAAAATCGTAGTTTACTATCGGCTAAATAGAAAGAAACAGACATGCAAGTGGATAAAAATATCGGATAAATTACGTTACCGTAGCAATGCCGGCATTTATTGTTCGTTTATTAAGCGTTGCGCGTTCACTATATATATATATATTGGAATCTCAAAAACGGATCATACTAAAATTATAAAATTATACGAAGGTATTAATTGTTTACAGCTTATTACAAAAATAAATAGATAGTACATTTTGACGGATCGAATTGAAAAATATAGGGTGATTCTGAAAAATAAATATTTCTTTAATTGTTGCTGAATCAAAAACGAATTAGACGTGTGTATCACCCTGTATTTCATAAAAAGTATTGTTATCTAGGTATTTATTTATTACCCCATAATCAATATTATTAACAAAATCCTTAATATATAGGGTGTAATTTTTTTTAAGAAATGCCCATCTGTGGAATGAATTAACAATCACCCTGTATACATATAATGTAAAATGGGTTTATATAATGTCAGAATAGTAAACATTATGTAAGGTTTTATTTTTGATCATGTTTTCATTCCATATCAGAATCTCTCAGAATTTAAAAAATTCCCCCTGATGTAACTAAGTACCACCCTGTACATGTTTACATTTTGAACTATTTATGTGTACGTTTGCGTTAGACTAGGATATATTAATGCTACAATCAACTAAAATTGCTTATTTTTTTCTTTTTAATTAAGTTACATAGTTTCAAAAAAATACGATTTCTCGACTTTAACACCTTGTATTTTAAAAACTACTTATAGGATTGAATTGGTCCCATGAACACTTTTCATCAACAGGTCGAGTACAATATATTCAAAATTTGTTACATTTGACGGAACGCCACTTTGCCATTAGAAAAGGGCGTAGTCCTTTGTATCTTATATTTCTTATATTGTAAAACAATGAAAATGAGAGCAATTTGTTTTTCAATCTTACGGAGTTAAAAATTCTTTTAAAATCAATACAAGAGGTAAATATTTATTTCCACAGGTGTCAACGATATACGCCATCAAATACTATGGGACTTAAACCCGAATCGCCGAATCCAAAGTCCAAGCTCTGCCCATTCCTTTATTAATGGTATTAATTTATATACATCATTTTTATAAATCTAAATATTTCGTTTTCAGCTAAAGCAAAAATCGGTCATTTAATTATAGGTCATTATAAATTTTCTCCGTATTTTAAAAAGTTAAATTTATTTATTTTTTTTTTTGTATATGTTACGGTTAAAGTGTTTACTTGGCTAGTTTATAGACTAGCTGGATAGTATACAAACTATCCAAATGTCCTGCTATTTTGATGGAAAATCATATTTCTACTAAAATAGCTATGAATATTGGTTGATTTGTATACTAACCAGCTAGTTTACAAACTATATAATATTTCTCGCCAAAGTACAAACCACAAGAAAAGTACACAAATTAACCGACATTTTTGGCTAGTTTACAAACTATCCACAGTATTTGGATAAAGTGTGAACTAAATATTCGTAGTAATACATAATAACCAGCTCGTCGGTTAGTATGTAAACTAACCAATTCTCTTCGGTTAATTTATTAGAAAAGTGAGGTTATAGTTATGGCAAGTGTGTTTTATATTTGTTTACTACTGTGGTGTCTTGTGAAATTTGTTTAAAAAGAGGTTATTAAAAATTAATCAACAGCAACAATTTGAAAACCTACTTTTGGAAGTTTACGAACAAAAGTCGCAAAATTCAAAAAAATTAATGAATGACAGTGATTAAAGTGAACTTTTGCAATGTATAAAAAGAATACGCGAAACTGGACCTAACACGAGTAACAAAAATTATTATTACGTGGTAAATACTTATGATTTATAGAGAATCGATTCATCTTATGTAATTTTACATAAAAAATCTGAAAAGATTATTTATTATTTATTAAGAGAATTGGTTAGTTTACATACTAACCGACGAGCTGGTTATTATGTATTACTACGAATATTTAGTTCACACTTTATCCAAATACTGTGGATAGTTTTAAACTAGCCAAAAATGTCGGTTAATTTGTGTACTCTTCTTGTGGTTTGTACTATGGCGATAAATATTGTATAATTTGTAAACTAGCTGGTTAGTATACAAACCAACCAATATTCATAGCTATTTTAGTAGAAATATGATTATCCATCAAAATAGCAGGACATTTGGATAGTTTGCATACTATCCAGCTAGTCTATAAACTAGCCAAGTAAACGCTTTAACCGTAACATATACATGGATCTTGTAATCAGTATGTAGGTATATAGAATTAATAAACACAAATAAAAAACTCGTTTTTAAAAAATTTCAAAAATAAATATATAATTACTTATTGCTTTGTGACTATTTAAATTAAATAAATAATATAACTATATTATTTATTTTTTTTTGTACTAAATTATTGATCTGCCCTCGTTTCCGTATCCAGATAGAAATAATTCTATGCTAAGAATTCGTAAGTAACAAATAACAAATTCAACGGATCGATAATTCATTTTGGTGAGTAGATTATTTTACCAAATATTTGACTACATGCACTACCGGTTAGTATCGACGATCAAAATAATTCATAATGATGGAAATTCAGAATTAACTAAAACACAGAATAGTGACTAAAGCTTCTAAATTAATATATCAAATTGAATATTTTCTCTATTCATCAATTTTACCTCTGACAAGAACATAATATATAGGTACGATTTTTTAATATTCGTGACAGCTACATAAATCTTATTTGAAAAATGTTTCAATATTTCCGATTCCACATATTTCCTGTCAAATTAGAAACACGTATCTATTCTTAAAAGGGAAATACCTTCCAACTATATAAAATGGAATGTCTTGACTTTTATATTTCGAATTTAGTTTAAAGTATATTGTAACGAATTTAATATAAAATTCACATGTAACACTCTGATTGTTTCTTTCGTCGCTTGGGGTGCAATGGACCAAAACAGGCGATATCTACTCGAAGAATTTCGTCAATTTGAGGAAGGTGGGACCTAAAATTGGGATATATAAAGTATGAAATGTGCATGGTATCTATCAGTGTGGTACAGGCATCATAAATATTATTAAAAATGAATTCTGTAAGTACTTCTGTAATAGAAACTTTAATTCTATTATTTTATGAATATATATTTTAATATTCAGTAGGGTTTTTAGTTTTTTTTTTATTTAATAATCTAGGGACACAACTACTAATAAAAATATTTTTATGTATATTTTTAACTGACCTTAAAAAAAGGAGGAGGTTCTCAATTCGTCGTAATATTTTTTTTTTATGTATGTTCAGCGATAATTCTTTAACACGATGTCCGATTTCAATTTCTTTTTTACCATATAAATTTGGTGAAAATCTAATAATTGGGTCCATGAGAAAATCCTTAAATTCTTCATTTTTACGTATGTTCAGCTATAATTCTTTAACACGGTGCTTGATTTCAATATTTCTTTTTTTGTTACTTCA